CCTCGTGGCCCGTCCACGCAGTCGCCGCCAGGGCTCCCAACCAACCCCGTGACTTGAACAGGCGGAAGCTAGCGGGTGCAGTTGCTCCATGCATGGGAGGGTATCGCCATCTGTTGAACTTCTACCTCTCCAGCAGCTTGAGAAAAACAGGCACTCCCCATCTGATGTGCCAAGAGGGGAGGCAAACGGCCCCCGCCGAGGCAACCAGCAGCGGCGCCCACAGAGCCTCCCCAGCAGGCCTCCAGCGGCCCAAGTCGGGCCCTCCTCGCCTGCGGCTCAGCTCAGGGGCAGCCAGCCAGCCGTGGGCTACTGACAGGGTCACCTACCGAGGGAGGAGGACCGTCTCGGCAGGGGGGCGGAGCAGCCCCAGCGCCTTCCGCCAGGCAGGCGGACATGCCTCGCGGAGACTGGGACAAGCGGCGAGTGGGCCCCGGCCCCACATCGGGCGGCTGGGGGGCAGCTGGCGCCAGTGTGAGCCACCCTCCTTCCCCCGCACATGTGACCACCGGGCTGCTGCGGAGGGAGAGGGAAGAACGGCAGGGCGGAGGGAAGCCAGAGGCCCAAAGCGCAAGAGGCAGAGCGCTCGCTCGGCCCGGCCCGGCCCGGCCCACTGAGCTCCAGGCTAGTCTGGCAAAGCGCAAGCGCGCTTCAGAAAGGCCTCTGCCAAGCGGAAAGTGCCAGCAGCGACGCAAGCTGGCAACGGAAAGGATGCCCCCCAATGGGGCAGACCACCGAGGCCCCGGCCCACCCGCCACCCCCGAGGGAGAACACGAGAGGACCACTCCCAGGCCTGGGGAACGCGCCGGGCAGAGCGTCCCCCCAGCTCTGAAGACCCCCTGCCCCCAAAAGCCCCCTTGAGCTGCGCCACGCGGACCCATCAGGCTGGCTGAGCACGGCCTCCCCACTTCCTCGTGCTCCCCACACCCGGCCAGCCTGCCCTCGGCACCCAGGCGGGTCCAGAGTGCACCGGAAGCCTGAGGGGAGGCGGCTGGGGCAAGGTGGAGAGGCGACGCTCCGGCCCCGCTTCAGCCGCCCGGGCCCTTGTCAAAATAAGCAGTTTGTGCTCTGGAAAGCCACAGGGATGATGCAGAGTACGCCTGTGTGTGCACCCTGCCACGTTTACGTATGTGCGCACGGTCCCCTCGACACCAGAGCCGGGATTCTCTGCTGTGAAGTCGCAGGCATGAGACCCGCAGGACAACACACACGGGACTGAAAAAGGCTCCGCAGGCAGTCTTCCCCAGCGTCCATTTTTAGAGCCACACAGCCAGATGGGCCCAGGGCGTGCGCGCGCATGCCCGGCAATGGCACCACCACCCAAGCCCTGGCAGCGCCACCTACAGGGCGCCGAGAGGCCTTCCCGCTTGGTGAGGACGGCTCTGGGGCCGCTTCCGCCGGGTGGCCACGCTGGGAAAGACAAAGGCGCTCGGCAGGACCTCCTCTGACCGCCACACCCGGGTCCTGCTGCCGCCCAGCCAGGAAGGGGGCCCGCCTGCCCGCCACGTGCAGCGCTCTCCTCCGGCCTCCTTTGCTCGTTGCCCTGAAGAGTGGCAGAAGCGAAAGCCGCCATTCGGCTGCCGTGACCTTAAAAGCACAAGGTGGGGTGGCAGAGCCCGCGCCGCTCCCCAGGTTGTGGGGCACGGGGCTCGGGAGCTGCAGAGGCCGCGGCAGGTGCACAGGCCCGTTGCGCTGAGCAACTCGGAGGGCTGCGGCCCACGCAGGGCGGGAGGCTCGTGTCAGACGAGTGCTCCCGCCTCTCCAGCGAGGGCGGCCAGCGCACGCTCTTGCTCTCAAGCACTGGCCCCGCCGAGGCCCGAGAGGAGCCCGTCTGGGATGCGCAGGCACCGCCACGAGGCCAAGGAGGCTCAGATGGCGTGGACGGGGCAGCCACACCCCAGAAGGAAGGAAGGACGGAAGGAGCGAGCAGCAGCCCCTGCCTCACGCTGCTCCACGCGAGAAGACCCTCCGCCAGATCTCTTTGCGGCCCCCTCCCTCCCACTGAGCTGCCCCCAGCAGATGCAGCCACTTTGCCTCAGCGGAGAGGGGCGCTGCGGGGCCCGATCCGGGGCGCACCCAGCCCAGCATTCTGTTCACAGTGGCCAGCCGGACGCCTGCAGGAAGACAAGCTGGGCACGAGGCAGCGAGCGTTGTGCGGAGCCCCGGCCTGGGAGCTCCCGGAAGGCTTTGGGCAGAACCCCGCAGACTCCCGAGAAACCGGCAGAGGCAGAGCGGCCCTCCCAGGGACCGGCAGGCGGTGGCGAGCGGAGAGCAAGCGGCGGGAGCGGGCGGGAGGCCGGGTCTGCACCGGGAGCAGCCTCTTCAACACGCCCCCGCTTGCCCGGGAGCCAGGAGCGGCCCGCCCGGGGCGGTTAAGACAAAGGGCTTGGAAGAGCTATGCAGGGGCCTCCCCGCCCGGGGGTGCACAACGGCACACGCAGGACAACGTAAACGGCAGCCGGGGTGAGAAAAGCCACTTCCCGGGGACACGGGGGCAGCGTCTCGTGATGGCACCTCCGACTGCAGCACGCAGCTGCTCTGAAAAAGGCACGTGCCCGCGGGGCCTCCAAAGCCAAAGGGCCCGGGGAGCCGGTGGGCATGCCATGCGCAGCCCCCGCACGCTCCCTCCGGGCAGCACACCTCTGGCCGAGGTGGCCCGTTCTGCCCGCATGGGACGGGGAAGCCATGTTTCCCCATGGCGCGAGCAGAACGCCGGGCAGGGCAGGCCCGGCAGGGCTCCTCCGATGTTCCCACGGGGGAGCGACACGCCTCCTCCTCCCCCCGACCGCTTCCCAATTTAGTCTGCCCGTCCGTGCTGCTGATGGGCCGCGGCGGGAGGGCAGGGCGGGCGCAGGCACACCGCCCCTCACACAGCTGCACTTGGGTAACAAAGGGGGCGGCAATCCGGCGTGCAGGTGAGCCCTGGGGCGCCTGGGGGTCCGGTCCCACACCGTCAGTCCCGATCCGCTCTGCCCCCCCAGGGCCTGGGACCGGCTCTCATCCCCCAGCTCCCCGACTGCTCCCTTGCGCACCCAGCCTGACATCCGGACGCGCCGAGGTGCCCTCCTCCTATTGCACAAGGGGCGACTTTGCACCAACGTCACTCGAGCTGAAGGGTCCCCAAGGAGGGGGGGCCCTCGCCCCGAGTCGACCGCTCGGAGCGTGGCGGGACGGCGGCAGCCCTGCTGGCTCGGGGAGCCCTGTGCGCGGGTCACCCCAGGCCCGTCCGGGCACCGCCGGCTTCCCCGGCATCTCGCCAGCCCCGGCTCGACTGAAGCGGCGAGCACCTCAGCGTCCCTCCCGCACAGCTTCCCACAGAACCAGGTGCTTAAGGCACAGACTCCCCCATTCCTGGCTGGGCGCCAGGTGACGCCGCCGGAGGCACATGGGCGGCTGCGCAGGTGGGGGTGCGCACAGCTATGGAGAGCGGCCAGTCAACCTGCCCTCGCGCCGACACGCTGGCCTTCCGGCCCACAGCCCAGCCCCCTCCGACGGAGGCAGAGAGCAGGGCAGCCGTGTGCCCTCCGCGGGTCACAGTGGGGGCGGAGCGATCCTTGGTAGAGGGTCACCAATAAAGTGCTTCTGCTTTTTTCCTGTCCCAACTCCGCTGCCACCCACCCACCCCGACCGACCGGCCGGCCGGCCACAAGCACTGCCCCCCGGCGGCCAGTCCACCGACACACTCTCCTCTTTGGTCAACGCTGCCACTCCTCACCTCGCAGGTCTCGGGCCGTCCTGGGCCGCCTCCTGCTGCCCGTGCCTCGGAGAGGAGCCTCTGCACTGCGGCGCCCCCTGTGGGTGCCCCCCGCACACCTGCACAAGGCCAGCGGGGGGGGGGGGCTTCTGGCCAGAGAGGAAGACGAGTTTTTCTTCCAGCATCCTCATCTGCCCTGGGAGTCCGATCCGAGGTTCCTGCGGCAGAAGGACCATCCCGGAGAAGCACGCTGCTTTTGAAGCAGCCCCCCGCCCCCACGACGCCTGTGCCTTGCCCCCGCCCCGAGTCATGCAAGGGCAGGCCGGGCCAGGCCGAAAGGCAGCGGGCCACGCCGGCACGTGGGAGTCCGCTCCGCACTGATGGGGCCCAAGGGAGGCCGGCTTGTCCTGGAAGTCACGGGGTCTGTTCACCGCCGGCGGCTTGGCACCGGGCCACACGGCTCCCCCGGCTGGCCCCTGCACCAGGAAAGTTCGCCCACGAGACGGCCGCTGCAGCGGCTCCGCTTTGGTTCCGACGGCACGTTCTCCAGCGCGCATCCAGGCGAACACCCACACGAACGCCCAAGGATGGGGCCCGGGGCCCCGCGAGGGCCCGGCTGCTGCAGCTCCCGCGAGCCGGGGTGCCGTCCGCGGGGCAGCTCGGCCCCCAGCGAGTGTCCGTGCCGCCAGTCCTCGCAAGGCGAGCGCCGGCCGCCCTCTCCCGCGTCGACCGGCTCGAGGGCCCAGGCCGGGCCTCCAGCCGCAGCGAGCCGTGCCGCGCCCAGCAGGCGGCCGGAGGAGGGCGCTCCTCCCACATCACCTCCCGGAGGACCAGGGGCGCTGCCACGGCAGTGCTGCTGCCAGCCGGCCGGCCGGCCACGGGAGTGCGGGGCCACCCACTTCGAGTCTCTCTCTGCCTCGACTGGTCTCTGTCCAATAGATGAGCTGCTGGCTGTGCTGGTTTCGGGGGACGGGGGGACGGGCAGACGGACGATGAGTGTTGCGATGAAGGAATATACTTGGCACAATACACCCCGGGGCTCGGCCTCCCAGTCCTGTGCAAGCTTCCGAGGGGAGGGCCGCTGCAGAAACTCGACCTCTCTCAGCATTACCCGATCGGCCGCGCAAGTCCTATTCCAGGAGATGCAGGAGGAAAAAGGTTTCGCGGGGGGCCCGGGGGGGCCGGGGCCTGCCCGCGGTACATGCATGCGCCTCCCGCCGGCCGCCAGGGGCCGTGCCTGTGGCGCCGAGGAGGAGCCCGGCCCCGGAGTCCGCGCTTGCACAGTGCCCGTCGCTGCGGGGCAGGGGAGCTACCGCAGGGAGTCCGGGATCGAACACAGTCTGGGATTGGGGGCTGCCGGGTGGCTCTGGGCGCCCTGCTGGAGCTGAAGGGTGCGTGCCGGGCAAGGGATGCCCAGCCAGGCGCGGCCAGGGGTGTCCCTGCTCCCCGGCTGGAGCTGCCCCAGGTGCGGCGGGTGCGGAATGACCAGGGAGGCCCGGCTGGCGTGGCAGAGGCAGTGGATCATCTCGCTCGGGGCATCCACCGCGGCCGGCCGGGGCCCCGGCACGCTCTTCGGCTTGGAGGTGATCGGCTGGGGCTGCCCCATGGGCACCACGGAGTGGGCGCTGGCGCTGGGCAGGGCCGGCAGGCTCAGCCGGCGCTGGCAGTGGAGCATCTCCGTGTGGGGGTCCATCCCGGCGGGGGGGGCGCTAAGCTTCGGCGCTTGTTCGGCGCTGGGGGCCACACCCTGGAGGTGGCCGGCGGGGCCCGCTGCGTGGGGACCCGCCGGAGGGTCCGCGGGGAGGCTCTGCCCGTGAGGGGCCCCGTGCTGCCCGGGCGGAGCTGCCCGGTGGACCCCCGGGGGCGGGTCCCCCGCGAGCTCCTGGCGCGGGGCGGGCGTCGCGCGCTGCGCAGCAGCCACGGAGGCGGGGTCGCCCGCCAGGGGCTGCTGGAGGGCGGGGGCCGCCAGGAGGGTGCTGGCCAGGGGGTCCGCGCCCAGGACCTGCCGGTGGGTCCGCTGGTGCGCCCGCAGGGCCGACTCGCCCTTGAAGCGCTTGGGGCAGCAGGTGCAGGCGTGCGGGCGCTGCTGCGAGTGGGTGCGCTGGTGCGCCGCGAGGTTGCCCTTCTGGCTGAAGCGCCGGCCGCAGGTGGCGCAGGGGAAGGGGCGCTCGCCCGAGTGGATGCGCCGGTGGGTGATGAGGTTGGCCCGCTGGTTGAAGCGCTTCCCGCACTCGGTGCAGGCGAAGGGCTTCTCGCCCGTGTGGATGCGCTGGTGGGTGATGAGGTTGGGCCGCTGGCTGAAGCTCTTCCCGCAGACGTTGCAGGGGAAGGGCTTCTCCGTCTGGCGGCTGCCCCGCGGCACGGGCACCTTGGGCTCGGGGCTGATCAGGCCCTCCTGGACGGCGTGGGTGCGCTGGTGGGCGGCCAGGTTCGCCTTCTGGCTGAAGCGCTTCCCACAGCGCAGGCAGGGGAAGGGGCGCTCGCCCGTGTGCACCCGCTGGTGCGTCAGCAGGTTGGGCCGCTGGCGGAAGCGCTTGCCGCACTCCAGGCAGGGGTAGGGCTTCTCGCCCGTGTGGATGCGCCCATGCGTGATGAGGCCTTGCTTCTGCCGGAAGCACTTCCCGCACACCACGCAGGCAAAGGGTCCGGACCCCAGGCCCTGGGAGGGGCGCCCCGGCCCGCAGAGGCTGGGCTCACACGAGGCCGCCTCCTCCTTCTTGACGCGGGGCTGGCTCCTCAGCTGGGCGGAGTTGGGGGCCAGGAAGAGCCCCGCTCGGGAGCTGTCGGGGAAGAGCTGGTAGCGCTCCAAGCTTGCCACAAAGCCCTTCTGGCCGCCCTCCTCCTCCTTGATGGCCTTGCCGCGGCCAGCTGCCCCTGGAACGGAAGAAGGGAGGCGGGGAGGGAGCGTAAGCGGCGGGCGCTTCTCCGGCCCATCAAGGCGGCCCCAGGAGTCCCCGCAGACACCCAGAGCAGGCCCCCGCGCTTGGCTCCTGGCAAGCAGGCAGCTGGAGGCACCCGGCTCCAGTCTGCGGTGCTACATTTTAAGAAGGGGGGGGCCAGGACAGGCTGGACATGCACGTGGCAGGCATGCCATGAGCGGAGCCGGCTGGAGCCGGGGGTCAGACTAGATGGCCCGGGAGACCCCTTCCGACTTGCTCTGTTTCCGTGTTTCAGGGCAGTTTCCTGAAAGAACTGCATGTGCTTAGCCTGCAGGAAGAAAGGCGAAGGGGAGACACGGGAGCTGCCTTCCGGGATCGGAAGGGCTGTCGCGTGGGAAGCAGAATGTGCTCGCCCCGAGGCCCCCGGGAGCAGGCGCAGGAGACGCGGCCAAAGGCAGGAGATGGCCTCACACGGCGCCCTCGGCAGGGAGAGGAAGGAGCCGACGCTCACAGCCCCCCACTCGTTTGGGCGCACGCCGGGCGGGCCGGCACCTGGCCGGCACGTTTCGCTGCACGGACGCTTCGCCACTCGCGAGGCGCCGGCTGCTGGAGGCTGGGGGCCACGCCGCACCCTCGGCCCTGCCGGGCGGCACCCGAGCAGCCACAGCCTCACCTTGACAGGAGCCCGTGCACAGCTTGCCTTCCTCCAGCTTCTGGCGGTCCGTGACGCCCAGGTCCTCCCACCGCTCGATCCAAGACAGGCTCTCTGGCTTGAAGAAACGGTAGCCTGGCGAGAAGAGCGAGAGCGCGGGGTGAGCCCGCTTCCCTTCCCCGGCTCAGCTGAGCTCCTGGCAGGCGGGCGAGGGGCTGAGGAAGGCAAAGGCTCCGCCGCGGCCCAGCCTGCCAAGGACCACCGGGCACCCGGCCCCTCGCCGGCACGGCCCTTCTCTGCCCTGAAGGAGGAGGAGGCACCCAGCGCTCAGCCCGGGGACGGCTGGGGCAGCGCGCAGCGCCCGCCAGACTCGCCACAACGGGGCCTGTGCCAGCGCAGCGGCAGGGGCCGGGCAGCCGGGGCAGTTCCTCCTTCCTGGAGCCGACGCGTCAGCCGGCCTCGTCTGCCGCGGCTGTGGCCGGCTGCTCACCACCGGCCCCGCAAATCCAAGCGCCTCTCCGAGCGTGAGCGCGCCACCGTGCGACTCAGAATCGAGAAACATGCACCCTGCCGCTGCCATCATCACAACCAAACCGAAAGCAGCACAGCGCGTCTTCAGCTGAGGCACATGGGCAGCTTTTTGAAACAAGAGTGGAGTGCCTCGCTCCGGAGGCTGCCAAGGCGTCGGCAGAACACAAGCAGAGCCAGGCTCAGCCGAAGTCTAAACGATAAAAGGGAAAACTGGGGAGGGACTTTGGGGCTCGGATCAGCTCTGTGCCAACGCCGCGCACTCCCAGCACCCCACTTTGCCGCAAAAGAAAACGCCATTTTGCTTTTTAGAGCCTAGCATTTTTGGCAAACAAAACTACACGTGCAAACTTAGAAATGTGCTCCAGTTAGCGAGTGAATGTTGCTATTAATCGATTTGAAATTAAAACAAACCCATCTGCGCTTTCTGAGCACCAGTATGATTCTTCCCCAACTACAGAACTGATATTGTCCAGCTGCAAACACATACACTGCCGACAGAGACGGAAACTCAAGGATAATGGAAGGGGGACTACAAGCCCGTGAGCGGAGGGGCCAGGGCAGCGCAACTCCAGTGGAGCTGCAAATTCCCACCCTAAATGAATGAAGCTCAAAGGAAATCCATGGGATGCAATTCCAAAGCAACAGCAGCATTTTCTACAGGGAGGGCAACTGCTTCTAGCAGAAAGACAGTGTTTATTTCAGCTTCCAATAGGCTAAAAAAACCCACACGTGTGGGCTGCCCAGAAGCAACACCACAGTCTCCAGGCAGAGGCTCTGGAAAAGCGCAGATGGCTCCCGGTGCCTGACTCCAACGCAGCTCTGCCAAGGCGGGAGCCGGTCCACTGAAGCAACAGCCGGCTGGCCGCCCGCCCGCTGGAGAGCAAGCGCTGAGCGGGACGACCGCTGCTCTGCCCCGCACGGCTGTTCCACGTCCTGCACGCTGAGGACCCACCCACCTTCCTGCTGGGGTCTCCTGTGTCCCAGGTTCCCCTACACAACCAGGAAAGGGGGGGCCCGTGGCAAGCGCTCGTTCCCGGGATGCGCAAAAGCGGCAGGATAACTGCGTGTGGGGCCTAGCCCAGTGACTCACCTGGGCAGGGATCTGTCGGGATCCCCCTGCTCGAGTCCAGCTGATCTCCAGCACACTGCTCTCCGGCACGTTCGATCCGAGAAAGCAGATCGGGCTTGAGAACCGGGTAGCCTAGCAAAGGGGAAGAGCAAGGGCCCTTAGCTATGGCTCGGAAAAGGAGCGGCGCGTCCGCCCTTCCCCGGCCTCTCACAGCTAGCACAGGAGAGGGGCAGCTGCTCCTCCCCACTGGGAAAGGAGCATCCACCTTCCCTCCCCGAGAGAACCTCCAGGCCAGGGCAGGGTGAGGGCTTTCCAGCCTGCAGACGGCCTTTTCAAGGACGCTTCCCAGGCCGGGGAGTCTGAGTTGACGCAGTGCAGAGCGGCTCTTCTGCCAGAGCAGACGCGGCCCCGCAAGTGGGCCGAGAAGCCCCACGGTGAGGCCAGAGCAGCACAGGCTGGGCGGCGGGGGGCGACCCTGACTCTGAGAGGGACTCCACCATCACTAAAGAGCACGGCAGGCCCTGCCCTCCAGAGGGGGAAGCTGACGCCCCGTGCAGCACTCAGCTGGGAAGCTGCAGCCCGGCCCAGCTCAGAGGCAGCTCAGCACCGGGTCCTCGGGCGGCAACTTCCCCTCCATCAGCCCCCAGCCTGCCTGTCAGAGCAGAGCAGAGCCCACCCCACCCCCCCGGGGCCAGAGCACACCATGCCTTCACCCCACTCTGCGCAGGACCGACCCCCCGAAGCAGCGCTCTCGCCTCTCACCCAGGGAAGTGACCAGCTCGTAGTTCTCCATCACCGCTTCCACCCGTGCCTTGCGGACGCTGTGTGTGCTCCTCCAGGGAGATGCGGGCCGGGGGCAGGGGCTCAGGCGTCACCTGTGACAACAACGCCTGGCTGGTCAGCGCTGCCCCGCTCGGGGTGACCCAGGCCCAGGAAGCAGCACCTGCAGCTCAAGCACCCCGGAAGGGCTGCTGCACAGCTGGACCAGCGGCAACACCTCGGGCTTTCCCGGTCTCCAGGCGGGGCATTTCCTGGCCCCCACGAGGGACTGAACCCGAGGCTCCCGCTGGGAAAGCACGTGCGACAGCTCCCAGCAGCAGCTGCAACTCCGACTTCTGCCGGCCGGGCAGCACTAACCCAGAATTCTGCGGCTTTACGGTAGGAAGGTGGTCGACTGCAGTGCGTCTGGCAGCGCAAAATTGAGACCGAAACACTGCACAGCCCTCCTGTCTCGGCCCTTGTCACAAGTCGGCCTGAGACCAGCAGAGGCCCTGCTGCCTCCTCGGTGCAGCGCACCAGCTTCTGCACGCCAGCCCCGCTTGCCGAGCCACTGCGACCCCCAGGCGGCCAGAGCACATGCCGCCCCAGCAAGTGGGCCAGGAAGCCCAACAACAGGGGAGGGGAGATTAACCCAAACCACATTGCGCAGGGATCGGGGGCCCTTACCTCCCCCACACGGGTAAGAGGCTGACGGACGCCGTGAAGCAGCCAAGCAGCCCTCCAACGCAAGGCTCAGGCAGCCCCCCTGCCTGGGCAGCCCCCGCTGCAGCCACTTCCTGCAGGCTCTCCAGGGTGGGAGGACCATGCTCCCCCTCGTGAACTCAAAGGCCACTGGGGACGTGGGTCCGATCACTCGGACAGTCTTTCGGCCGGCTTATTCTTGCTGCCCTTTCCAAAGCCCCTCTGCCTGCGTCCACCAGGAAAAGAAAAGCAGGATGAGCCCCGAGGACCGGCACAGCCTGAGCCCTGAGCAAGGCCACTCGGCCACTCCCCGTCCAGGTCCCCTCTGCGCGACCCTTGCTGCTAAGGAGGGCTGCGCACAGCTGCCTGGAGAGCACCTTCCCCAGCACGCGGAGTCCCAGAAGCCAGACTGGGCCAACAACGGCATCCGTCACCCACCAGCAGGGCCTCTGCCGCGAGGGGAGCGCTGTGCCAAGCCCCGGTCACGTGAAGGGAAAGCGCCCGCTGCCAGCGAGCGAGGCTGACGGGCCTCACCCCCCTCCCCAGGGAGCCTGCTGCGCTGCATCTGGAAGACCGTGTGCAGCGCCCCCCATGGGCTACTGCGCAGCGAAGGGGGCCAAACAGCCAACTCAAGGCGGCAGGGGGGCACCATGCATACAGGTCAGTCAAGGAGGAGCCCGTGCAGGTGAACACCTGTCCTGCAGGTCAGCTAGGAAGAGAGGCTGGGCAGGAGGGGAGGAGAGAGATGGCACAAGCGTGCGGAATGGCCCGGAGCGTGCAAGAGAGCGGGGCGGCGAGAGCCCCTCCGCACTCTCTCATGATACAAAGAGCGTGCGAGAGAGGCGTGCAGGGCAGGGCAGGCCAATACCTGGAATTCGCTCCTGTTCCAGACGGACTGTTCCCTCTTCGCCAAGCAGACACGCGCCACCGACTGAGTCCCACCTGTGAGAAGGAAGGCAGGCCAAGGTCACCCCAGGCCCCCCCGCCCAACAGCTCCAGCCCAACCGTTCCCCCCTCCCACCCTACAACTGCCTCCCACCACCTTCCCCGTGGGAAGAGTCCTGACAAAGAGGCGGGCGGATGCGGTCTTCTCGCTTTGCTCACACGTAAGCCCCCCGGCATGGGAAAGCGGCCACTGCCGTGCAGGGCCCTTCAGTCACACAGGAGACTCTGTGCTCGAGGACAGGCAAAGAGGAGACGGCCGCACAACGCACCACTCGCCGCCGCTGGGGCTGGTGGTGGGCACACACGTTTAGGGGGACTGAAAAGGGGAAGTAAGCCAATTCGTGGAAGAAGAGAGGACGCCCAAGGGCTCCCACGAAGGTCTCACGGAACCCCCAGCTTCAGAGGTGCCACTGAGGACCGTTGCCAGGAAGCTGCGTCTTCCGTCCTTCACTCACGAGCTCACTGCAAACATCTGTCTGGACACACACGGGACCAGACAGATCTTTGGCCCACGGCTGCAGATACCTGCTGTGTCCCGCAGCTGCATTCCCACCACTTGGCTCATTCGAGCTTCTGCAGACGCTTTCCCCCTTGACAGACTACGATTCCTTCATGCGCCAACTTTTAAATCATTATTTTCTTGGGACCTGCACCCTATCCTAGGACAGCTTCGTCTCATTCCACAAAGCAGGCCGCACTGAAATAAAAGCAATGCCCAGTGTGAGCCAGCAAGCCCTACAACTGAGCGGTGATCTGAAGGGGGATCTCCATGCTCAGTCCATGCTGAATTGCTCCCACGACACAGGAGAGAAGCAGGGCCCTTGCAGAAGAGAGCCCTCTCCCGTCCCGTTCTTGTCTGCTCTCTGGGCAGTGCCTCAAAAGCACACCCCCTGAATTACCACAGCTCACCTAGAGCAACGAGAGCACACCTGCGGCTGTCACAGGAGAGTCCCGCCAGGTGAGTGTGGGGTGCACCTACTCCAGCAGTGAGCACAGCCACTGACGAAACACTGAAGGCCAGGGAAAAGCCTGCCATGAATTAGGTATGTTCATGCAGGGCCTCGCCTGGGGCAGTTGTTACTTTTCGGGGTACAGCCGCCTGCGAGAGAGACCACTGTAATACTGGGAAGGAGCAGCTCTGGCCAGCTCCTCTATCATCCTCCAGCCACTTTTTCGGTTGCCTTCTATTATGGGATGCTTGCAGCAGCTCTTGTTGGAGACCAGCAGCTCCGGCTTCCCGCCTCACAGAGCTGCCACAGCCTCAGAACTAGCAGGCCCCTCTCCTCCCCAGCCAGGCTGCACGCTCAGCATCGCTCCCTTAGTGGGTTTTGAAGCGCAACAGCACACGACACACTAAAGAGAGCACAGATGAGCACCTTCCTGAAGGTTTACACTTTGCATCGGGGGAGGGGGGTGTTAGGAGAGCAGGAACTGAGGCCCTCATGACCATGGGACAACGGCAGCGGTGCAGAGAAAGCCAAAACTGCTTTCCCTGGGCAGAAGCAGGTGCGGAGGAGCAGCCTGAAGGGAAGGGAACACGAGGACGGTGTTACTCTGACTGGGTGCTGCAGCAGGAAAGGGAGGAGACACCCAGGACGGGAGGTCCCAGCAACACTGTCTCCCTCGCTACCGCCGGGCCCCGCCGGCTTCTTGGACCGGTCCCTTCAGCTTCTTGAGGCCTCCACGCCACGGCTGGCCTCGTGGGGAAAACAGGAAGGAACAGGTGGTGCTGCCGTTCCCAAGATGCTTCCACACATGTGGGATGCCGTCCCACAGCCAGAGAAACCCAGTGCTGCCCAAGGCCAAGACAGACATCAAGCATCAACCATCACCGACTGAAAGCCAGGTGCCACACACGGGAACATCTCAGGTTCTAGGAAATGTTCTTCCTTTCAGATGAGAAGCTGTGGACCTCGAAGCATTAGTTAAAAGGCTTTCCAAATCTTAAAAGCCCATCCTTTCTTAGAATAAAATGCTGCCAATTGCATGCTCAGTTCAGTTCAACAACTGTGGGTAAATCCCTTCCTGCTACCCTTTGCTGCTAACATGGGAAGCCCAGATGACAGCCAGAAGTACTCCAAGGCCAGCCAGAATCCCCCTGAGCTCCAGGGGAAGAAACAGCAACAAATCGGATGAGGTTCCACTCCCGGCAGCCCGAGCCCCTTCGCCGAAGCACCACAACCACACCCACCGGCCTGGCCGCCACACTGCAGCCTACCCAGCACAAGCCACAAAGAAGAAAGCAGGCCATTTTTAGCAGCAGGCCCAGAAATATGACAGCAATTCCCTCAAGCATCCCCAGAGGCCACCGCACTCTTTTTGATCTCGACCGCCCAGCTGGGGTTGCGTCTGCAGCCTTGCCAAGCGGGACCACAAGGGCAGCGTTCCGTGTGGTGGCAGGGCGGCCTTCCCCAGCTCAGTGCTTTCCAGAAGTGTTGGACTGAGACTCTCCCTGTCCCCCACCCCACAGTGCTGTAGCCTGACCAGCTCGGGGGAGACTTGGTTGGGAAGACTGCCCTGGGAACCGAGAGGCTTCCCCCCTTGCTGCTCCGACAGCCACACCATGGTGTCAACTTAGCAAAAGGCCTAGTGGTTAGTCACACAGAGGCCTGAAAGCGTGAAGCTGCAGACCAACAGTGTGAAATCGCTTCCCAGCCCTTCTGACAGACCGCAATTCTCCTGAGCTGGCAAATTCTGGAATCCCCAAGTCAGCCATGTGGATCAGCCCTGAACACTCTAACTACCAAACTCAACCGGCCCCAATGGAACTTCGCTCCAAATGGACATGCACAAGCCTGTGGGACGTGCCCACTCTGGAAATGCTCACACCGCGAAAATCATGACCACACCAATCTATAGCCTAAATTTGCACATTGCGTGACAGACAACAGAACGCCAATTTACCTGGGAGAAAGCTGCACCTCTGAATTCAGTGGGGCTGCTTTGGAAGCAACCTCATGCGAGGATCTTGGGCAGCTTAACGCCGCCGCCCTGCCTCCAGGAGGACCGGCAGACGCTGCAGCCACCCCCCCGTCCGAGGAAGAAATGGGCCCCCAAACCCGCACGAGCAAACGGAAACCCAGCCCGCTTGCCTGCAGCACAAGCAGCCCTTCCGGGTCCTCCTCTCGCCGCCGCCCCCTCCCCGCCGCCGATCCCGTGCAGGGCTGGAACGGGCCCCGGAGGCCTCGGCGCCAGCCGGGCACGAGGGCAGGGCAGGGCAGGGCAGGGCAGGGCGCAACGCCCACCCCTGCCCGAGGAGCCCCGCCGGGCGCGAAGCCCCGGCCCCAGCCCCAGCCGGGGCCCCGCAGACCCCGA